ATCAAGCGCGAATATATTTTTTGCATATGAAAGAGAGAGAGAGAGCAGTTATATGTGATTATTTTAATTTGGAATAAATTGAAATATTCAGAGCTTTCTGTTTATAATGTCAAAAGACTGATGAAAAAATCGCTAATAACTAAACATTTAGCTAAACATATTAATAAATTCAATAGTAAAACAACCAAGCTGAGACCTTCGCTGTGTAAAACAGCTTGTTGAGTATAATCATCTAATCATATGTATTTGTTTTTCATATCAATTATATGATTGTAGTGTAATTATAGATAGAGTATAAACGCGAATGATTGTATTCGCACATACATACATACACACACATACACATACATATATAAAGTTCCGCGTTCCATTGCGAAACTAAATTAAGTATTACAAACTAAATTTCGAAAAGCGTGACGTCGCGAAATGCGGATTCCTGCAAAAGTTTATTATCGAAGAAAAACCGCGCTGAGAAGTGGACACGATCTTCGCGTTTAGATCGTCGATTTTTCCGCTCGTCGACGTATCGCAAGTGCGTTTCCGCGCTCAAGGACGTTGTCCAAGGCGTTCCATCTCGCTGCCGAGGATAATGCAACGTTTCAGGATAACGCGACGGACGCGTGTTTATTTCTAACCGAGACGTAGGATGCAAACCGTCGCGGACTAATCGCTTTCCTTCTCCTCTTCCGTCTTGGTCCCCTGACGCCTCTGCCCCCGCCGCATCATTTCTCTCTCGCGATGTCGTTACGCCCCTCTCGCGCGGATTTGCCTCCCTCAATATGTCTCTTTTCCATGAATCGTAGATCCAATCTTTTTCTATACATGACGAGATGAAAAACGACAGAAAATTTCGTGATTTAACGTATATGGATTTTAGATGTATATAGATGTATGTAGATGGATTTTAAAAAAAATATCGCGTGCTTCCCGAGGAATTTAATGAGCAATCTGTACGATAATTTCATTCAGATTATTCATGCGAGAAAGAAATTACAACGATAATGACCTTGTTATTTATTAATTATTTTTCAATTATTCGATCAATTGAAATAATTCGAACGAAGCTATAAATGGCTTTTAACTGATCTATTTCAAAATACGAGAATTGCGAGAAAACATGTAATCAAAAGTAGTAGATAATATTTCGCGGTACATCTTTTGAAAAATCTGTCATTAAAACTATCAAAACATAATTAAAACATAATTAAAACAATTAAATACAAAGAAATTAAGGAAAATATATTTTTTACATTTTATATAATATATAATATTAAATTATTAACAAAAATTTTTTTAATTAAATTATTCTACAGAATCCTTAAATTTTACTAGTTTCTAGACAAATCCGTTTTATTTTAAACTCTACATCTTTTTTTAGATTGATATTTTTTTAATTTTTGCGTATTTTTCTTTAAGTATTCGGCTTATTATAACGATTAAAATTACCAAGATGTATTTTTCAATCAAAACTTTTTTATAGATTAATATTTTATAGCAATTCTTTATCACCGGAGTCTCATTGATTCAACGACGAATTCTAAGAAATCCGTAGATTATGATAGCACGGATGCACAACACGTCGCGAAATAATTAATTAATTAATTAATTGCGTAAAAATTAAAAAAGCAGACTTACAAACAGGTCCTTTTCGATGCTTTTCGCGCGTATGTCCGCCCAATCCCTGTAGCATGCATTCGTTACCTATGTTCATACGTACGTACGAATGAAACGCATATATGGCAGCGGAGAAACAATAATAAGTCATGCGCGGCTGGTTAGAAGCACTGCCGTAATTGCGTCCTGACGGCGGATGGATTTATGTTCCCGCTCGAGGATACGCGCGAATCTCTTCTCGCGATGTCGCTTCGCTAATCAAGCGATCACCATGTAATTCATCGCGGATTCCTTGCGGTAGCAAGGAATTTTCACTCGGTTTACTATTCCTGTCGTTAAACATTGTTAGTGTACTGTCTAATTAATCATTTACTCTCAGGCTTTAACGGGCGTGCGATTTTTAGCACCTCTCAAGGTGTGGAATTAAGGTTAAAATTATCGAAAAAAAAAAAAAAAAAAAAAACGAAAATATAGGATTTTACAATCATATGCGAATCTCATTCATTTATCTGTATTGTTTGTAAAATTTATTCATAAAGATAAAATATGTTTTTTAATGCTCTCTGTATTAGATTTTGATGAATTTATGAAGATTGTATATATTATAATTGAGATAGTCTGCTACTTTATTTATCTTATTTAATCAAAATTTGATAGAATATGAAATAAAAACACGATCTATCTGTAATCGAAAGGAATTTTACAGATAATGCGGATTGCGGTCTGTTTTCAAAGTTATATTCTCTCATACATCTTAAAACTGACCGGACGAGACGCGATTTGAATAATGGAGTAATATAAAGGCGAGTATTGCGCGCGAAAAGAACGACATGGTGAAAGGAATGCCGTTCATGGAAATCGCACGATTAAATACAGTTTCCGTGTTATGTCGCTCCACATGATGGACGTTGTTGTTTATTTCGCTATCGAGATTACCTTTCAAATTTCCATGGGACAGAAAATAATCGTGAACGTAACAGTGATTTCCATTTGCAATCGCTTTTCTCGAGTAAACACGATTACCGTCTCGGTACATCCCCCTGCATTTTCTGGGCAATTCTTTTCAACAATAAACTAAGACGAATTTACATTACATAATTGAATTTTAAAGCAAGTAAATTCATGATGTAGGAAATAATTATATTAATATGTGGACTTTTCATTTTTTTTTATTACATTTGTAGAGAGTGGCAGAAGAAATGTATAGAAATTATTAATTTTAGAAGAGCTATTATCTATCTATTGAAATCGTTTTTGATCGGAATAACGACGCTTCTCATCACGTAACTTATAAATACAAATCACATCAATATTCGAAACGATCGAAATATTGCTGACACTTTGCGAGTGAATGGAAATTCAATTCCAATCGGAATAAAATTACAAAAATTATTGTTGACAACCGAAGTGTGATTGATTCGGATTCACTCGAATCTCGACAAGATTTCAATAACAAAAAATGGATCGCGATCAGATTTGGGACAGAATCACTAGTCGGAAACTTACGTTTCCAATCGGAATCATAAATAGTTACATAATAGCTCTCCAGACCACGATAAGTAGTTATCCGTTCCTGAGTCGAAGAGATCAATCATAAGAAATCATAAGAGAAGAAAAGTTTGTTTCATTAGATAGATGGCAAACGTATTAATAAATATTTATATGAGAGCATCATGAATAAATAACGCGCTCACGAAAAGTACAATCGACGCATCGCGGGAAATACTAACAAAGAAATATAATTATAGTGCATGCAATTTTAATGATGTCATTGAAATGCGTCATCTCTACGCAGAATCACATTGTAACGCTACTATTCTTAGATTACGTTTTACTATCTATACATATACGTTATTCACAAACTTTACATCATAAGTCATAATTTCTTATTTTCGACAATTTTTTTATGCATTGTTACGAGCGTTTAAGTTATCAAAAGTAAAGTTTTAATGGAAGTTATTAAATGTTCACAATATATACATGGCCAATTTCACGATTTTACAAGATGATGTAAGAGATTTAGGTGATTCGACATAAAAATAACCAGTCTGATAATAAATTTTAAATAAATTATGTCCGTTCTATCGCGCAAAAAAGAATTGTGAATTTTAAAAATAATTTGATTTATTCCTCCGTGTTTTAGTGAGTCAATCTCAACGTTTTAGTGAGTCAATCTCAACGTTATTTCTCAACGTATTTTTTGGTTAAACAAAATCTTAAACAAATCCGCAATGCGAGACCGGCGATACAGCCGTTTGGATGGAAGCAACAGATTCCCATGAATAATTCAGCGGACTATTTACCGATGGTTGCGTGGGCGATTATCCTCCCCCCTTGTCTTCGCGAAGGGTTCCGCGACAGGGCAATCCCTTTCGTCGCGAAACGCGTTACGCAATACGCTTCCGGAAAAATTGCGTTCGGCATCTTCGCCATTCCGACGCCGGCGTCGCGCGAAGATGAAAATTCCTAATCCGCGAATCCATCCGCTTATCATTTACGACCTACGTTAATAAAAAAAAAGTATGAAAGTGCCTGACACCAAAATCGACTTTTTTTTCATTGTTGTATTTTGTTGTCACTGGAGGCAATAAAATCTGTAATTTTATTGCCATCGCAAGATACGCTTTGTGTCGCTGCATAAATGTTGCTTATTCTTCTGCATTTATTGTAAAAGTTAATTGGTAGAATGTAAAATTTGAAATACATTTTCACTTTGCCGTTTTTCCGCTCGAAGCTATATAGTTTTCATTATTTTAATCTAGTTCTTAGAACAAAAATGGATCTTCTTGAGTAACTTTATCGATAGACAATCGACGCCGGACAAAATTGTCAGTAGTAATATGTGTATGAATAAATATTATTTTTATTGGAGCCGTATTAAATCTCTCAGCCATCTGAGAATATAAATTTTAGAATTCTACATCTTTTTTAATAATATCTTTGTATTATACGATAGAAGAGATAATATCATAGAAAACTCGCGACGAAGAAACACGATCCTCCTGGGCATAGCTAGAGTATATGAGAGAATGGAATTATAATCAACATGATATTTTTAAGATATGTGAGCAGAGGAGAGGCTAGCTCGAGACCGATGGGGGTATATTAACCCTTTCGATAGGATCGATCCATTTGGTGATTGACGTTGCGTGACTATCGACCGGGGCACTTATATAATTTCGCGTCCAAGGAGAATTCTCCTCGGAGCGCGGCGAGAAAGATAATTTGGAATATCCAGCAGCCAAGGCCAGGATTGTCGGAAATGTAATCAGCTTCCGCGACGCGGAATTAAATCGGTCTCTCGTAAAAACGATTATTATTAATCGTTAGCATATTTATAGAGGACGCATGTAGGGTAATCGTAATATGAGAAATTGAGTTTCACCTAATTTTCATTTACAAAGCTGATCGATATCGCCGACATCAAGATATTTTGGCGTGATTTGGATACCTGGTCCGTCATAAGAAAGTGCTCTCCTGAGCCCGGTTTGTCCTCTAATAGGGTGAAGATGCTGCTGTTGGTCCAGAGGCGGCGGCTGGGCGGTTTGCAGCTGCAGATGATGCTGCTGGGAGGATGGGTAGTGGGTGGTGGAAGCGTTTGCGGCGGCGGAGGCGCTCCCCGGGAGCTGCTGATACTGGCTACCCTGATATTGACGGGGATGAAGCGTGTGGTGATGGTGGGGGTGCGGATGCGGATGCGAGTATGGTGTGCACCAGGTATAACACTGCTGCCAGGAGGCGGCCGCGTCCGCACCGGCCATCTCCTCTCTCTCTTCGTTTCCCATTCGCGTCCAGCCGCAGGAATCCATTCTGGATTCGACAGTATTTTCTCTCTTTTTCTTATTGGATGTAAGATGCGTTTAATGCAAACAGTTTTCATACAATCACTCAAGATTCGGTACCATGTCTGTCTTCGATTTTTAGTCAAAAATTGTCTGTTATTATTTCACGTTATCATTTCAAGTCCTAATATTGATTAATTTTGATGCCACGTTATTAGGGATATTTTTCTCTTTATGATTATTGATTTATTTTATATTAATTATTGCAAAAATGTTAATTTTTAATATGTTTTCTTGCGTCGCGAAATAATTTATTGATTATATACGATGACGTATGTGATTAGATTTTTTATCATTTCAGTCGTGGTTGCAGTTTTTATTCACGATTTATATTCTTATACTTTTATCAGTCACATTAACAAATATATTATATTTGCTTTATCCAGTTTTTTGCATTCGGCAAATTGTCATCAAACTATCCATGAATTCTACACATAAATGCATAGAAACAGATTAAAAAAAACTTGTCATTCATGTAAATAGTTACATATTTTTTTCAAATATCCTCCGTAATATTCTATTCGACTATTCAAACATAAAAGAATAATATCGTTTATTTCTAACTTTGTCCGTTGGATTAAGATACATAAAAAAATAAAAAATGGAATTTTTTAGATATATTTGATAGCTTTACTTCACTTATAAAACATAGAATATATTCGACACGATACTTTTTAATTTAGAAGAAAATAGGAATGGAAAGCTCAAAAACAAAGCAAAGCAAAAATTAAAAATACTTAATACAAAGTAATTAATATAAAAAATAATTTAATGAATCTTTATTAGTTTTAAATGTTATATGAGTATTTGTCCATTTATGTTCATATTTGAAATAATATAACATACACAATTTAGAAAATTGAGATTATTCAATCACTCGAAATATATAAAGCAAAAATATAATAGCATTGGCTAATCGCAAATTTTTCAAATCTTTATGTTAAAAAATGCAAGTTGGATGCATTACGGATAAGTTTAAACAAATAATGTAGAAAATCACTATCATATAAAGGAACAAGTGTTACATTTCGCCGTAACTGTCGATTATTGCCGCGAAAGGAAGCCTTCGTTGCCTTACAGTCGATCTCGATTCGATGAATTAAACTCGTCGCGTTACCGCGACGCGAATCCAAAAGTGAGCTTCTTCGAGATGATGTCGTTTAAATCTATCGATTGTCATTCTTGCCTCGTGGCCTGAATCGAGAACGTAATCGCGATCGCGAAAAATTATAAACACCATGATGATTAATGTGTCCCTCGAATTTATAATATCGAGCAAATTTTTACGCGCGCGAATAACACGTATACGATTTCGATTCGCGGCTTCGTGTTCTCGAAGCGACGAGACTCTCCCCTCGTAGCGCGTCGACTCGCGAAAATCGGCGATGCAATTTCGCACACACACAGCCTGAGGAGACTCGGCGATGACTGAGACGAACGGAAGCTTTTCCTCCGCCTTCGAACGAAAGAGGGTTGAAGGCACGAGGCGCGTCAGCGGCCGACGTCGGGGGATGCGCCCGGGTCCACGTGCACCGGGAGAGGCACGTTCCTCGGTCACGTGTTCGCCCACAACTCCACTTGGGTATATCTGCGCGCTCCGGCGTTAATTCCGTGTCGGATGAGTATTATACAGGTGAGCGTCGAGCGTACCAAAATGTAATTCACTCGCTTCTCTCATTTAAACGTGAATAGCATTCATTCGAAATCATAATCAATAAACGCGATAATGAGTGACAGTTGTCGGCCCGTATCTATACACGAGTCGATGATATATATCTTTGAGATTGCCAAAAAAAGATTCTTTTCAGACTCGCAATATTTTCTTATTACGTAATATATTATTAAATTTTTGAGAAGTCTCTGAAATTTCGCGAGTAAAATTTGTAAAAAACACTTTCGATGAATGATCCTGAGATGAGAATCGTAAGAAAAGCGCGGTCATTAATAGCCGATGTTGTCAGTTTGAAGCGAGTGCAACGTCATCGAATTACTTACGCGTATACACACACATGTAGATATGCAGAAGACTGTACGCATATTTCCATTTACGTAAAAGTAGCGCACCGGCCACTACGTAACGTATCTATATATATGTATATCGGAACCGATGATCCGCGCATGAAATTACTTTGATATACGGCAGTTTATCGCCGGACATGTTAAGTTGTCGCAGGTCAGGTCATTTCAGGTCAACGTACTCGTATGTACACATATTTGCGATCACCGGAATTTCTCTCGCCTGGCAACCTCTCTTCTTACTCTTTTCATGTAACATTACATCACTCGCTAACAATCACTTATAAATAAGCATTATTCAATAGATAGTGATATAAATGCAGGAGAATCGAAAATAGTTTTTTTGCACGAGTTGGAAAGAATGACGAGTATTCTTAATCAATTTGGAAGCAATCCTTTATTAATAATAAATAGCTCTTGAACTAGAAATAATTTGACGTTTTTAATTAATTTGATATTTTTCGTGAGTTAAGCAAAGTTTTATTTTTTAGACTCGGGAAGATATAAGCCTTTCACCTATAATTAGATTATTAATTTAAAGGTTAATCACCGAAATGTTTTTCGATACTTAATTACTCTAAAAATCCAAGAAAGATGCATCATATTTTTCGTGAAAAAATTGATTAGATCAGACTATTTGCATTTGGTGCGTTCACGTTTATCTTACGGCTGTTGAAATTTTTCATTAATCTTTCACGAAGATTGTGTATAACGCTATATGAATCGAAAGATAAAACTTATTAATAATTAATATGAATCTTAATATGACTCACGAATATGCGATAGTTATTATGAGCTGTCTGATCCATTAGGTTTTATCAGCATTTTTTTTTTACTCCCGACTCGATCTGTCAACCGCAGCATCGCCCGACGATTTATGGACGTCGTCCGCACATCCCTTTATATTTTCCGGTTGAGCGACGATTGTATTCCGGTAGACGTCGATGCTTAGACGCGGAGATCGGCGTGGGCCATGCGATTCTGACTCTGTCGTGCGTGATGCCGCATTTATTTTTCCTTTTTCTCCTCGTTTAATAATTGAAGCAGATGAATCGTATAGACTATAGACTATCGCCTGCTACAGCCTGCGACAGATAAAAACTTGCCTCGTCTGTTTCTCTCCCTCTCTCTCCTTCTATCTCTCTCGCGATACACACTGAGATGAGACGATTAAAATATAAATTGTTCCGACGATTCCCTATAGTCCATCTGAATCAACGCTACATATAAAGTAATTCCCTTGTCTCTTGTATCGCCCTATCCCGCGAATGAACGTCACGTATCGAATAAAAGGAAATTGAAACCGCTTGATTCTTAGACTTTAAAAGATTAGAGTTAACGTGGCCGCGATCGGTTAGATTAAAACTTCATTAAGGATGTTTTGTATGTACAATCCCAGCAAAAAGTAGCTGAAAATCAATATTGACGAATATATTCACTTTTGGTGTATTTTGAGTAAGAAATTATGTGAAATATTAGAATTTGATCTTAGCTATAGTGCAGAGATGTATTTTTTAATATTTATTGCGTTTTTCCTGAAACATTCCGAATTTTGTTAATCAAAATGATTAACTTTTGGCAGAGAATTTCGCCTTGTGACAGATACATGGTTAACTTCATTGAATTGTATTTAATATCTTTTTAACCAATTAGTACTTGTATAATATTATTTGACAAATATTTCCTCTGTATCTAAACTTTTGCAAATTTTAAACAAATTCTGAATGTTATTTCCATGTGTTTTTGTCATTTGAATCGACGTGGTTATACGTTTCCCATAAAAACACGTGTTAATTCGGTGCAAATTAAAATTCTTATAACTTGCGAACGCTTTAGTGAATCGATTTAAAAATTGTACTGAAGATACTAAACATATGTATGGACATTCTGTACAATTTTCATTAAATTCTCAATATTTTGAAAATAGGCACAAAACATCCTTAACTAAGATTAACCCAATTCTTAAAGGAATGTGAACTTGTAGAAATTGTTTCTCGCATTTGGCTACTGATAAGACACTGGACACTCCGAAATAATGTCGTGCGAAAGTCATGCGAAGAATCGGGACGACTACTGCGGCACGATATCAAAGAGATTTCCGTTCTTCGTTTCGCTCTGGTAATAATTGCACAACGCTATCTAAAATAGCGACCGGTATCCAAAGGAGAGAGAGAGAGAGAGAGAGAGAGAGAGCAAATATTCCCCCTCCGTCCCTCTCGTCCCCTTTCCCCGCGCTCCTTTCTTTTTTTCGCTTCACATTTAACGATCCCTCCGCCTCCTTGTCGCGCCACCCGCGAATCTACCCTCGGCAGAAATCCCGGCGCGATAGCTGCCGCCGACTCACGTGTTGCGCCACGTGAATCGCACTGCATCAAATAGCGCACGTGGGCGCCCGTTTCCGATACATCGAGTCTCTCCGCGCTACATCCCCAGCCCCTCTCTCTCTCTCTCTCTCTCTCTCTTTCTCTCGAGATATACGAGACTTGGAGGTCACGTTCCATTTGTGTCGGGTTTCCAATTTTCAATCGGGATGCTTCTCTCGTTAAAAATTACGAGTTTTTTTTTTAGCGCGACGGAAAAACTCGAGAGAGGATACCGTCGCGAAATTACGAGAAGCGCGTTGATTACGCGAAAGCGCGCTCACGGTAATCTGAACGGACGCGCCTATAGAAATATCCGTGTCCGGCTCGACAGCGCCGAAGGTCGCGTTGCATCGCAAGCGTAACGTGATAATTAGCTTTTAATCGACACGTGGAAACAATTATTTCTCGCGATGAATGTAAACGTAATAAAAGTGATACACCGGCAAGAACAATCCGATCTAATCCGTTAGAGAATTGCTCGTACGCGAAGGAGAAGTATTATATATATATATATATATATATATATATATATATATATATATATATATATAATCGAGGTACCTTTATAGAAAGAGATTATGCGTGACAAATAATTACGGTAAAGAGATTGGAGTCAATTATGATTAATTAAAGATTCTCTCCTTTTTCATTCTTCTCCTTTCGTAATAAATAATATGCGCCTCTCGTTTTTTGGATTCCTCAAATGAAATCTGTTTGTCATTCGTCTTGGGTGTCCTATGTTCACTTTATGGTTAATCCACCGCGGTTAAAAAAAAAAATTCCCGCTCTCACGCGCGAATTAGAGTTATAGAAATGCGTGAATAAAATTTACGCGATTTGAGCGTGAAAAGGAGATTTCTAGTTCCGCGAAGCGTTAAAGACCAGGAGACTGACGATCTTATGTATACGTCGTATCAAACGAATCGTGAAGCTGCGCGCGCGCGCCTTTCGCTTCCGGTTCACCGATCTCTCCACATTCGTTAAGCCACGTTCTCGGTGTTCCCGGCCGACATTTATGCGGTCGAGGCACTTTCGCTCAGCCTGGCTCGTCTCGATATTACAGATTCATCCTTATAGCGATAATAAGTATCTCGTAAGAGAGGCGCGCGATGATTACGCTCTAAATCGCATGCATTCGCTGACATTAGTGATCTCACGGAGAGGACAATTGAAAATTTTGAGAATCTCCAAAAAGAGAAGAAAGTACATATACATCATATCCGATCATGCATTCGTTTGCGATATGTGCGGATAATTCGCTTCTGTCGATATTTATCGCGTATATTAATATTGTTCCCGAGACTCTTTCTATATCCATCCGTTAGTGCAAAGTTGACGTAACATTTTTAAGACATCGTAGATTTAGCGAGTAAAAAAAGGCATCTCGCTTAGGATATGATTGGTCTAAGAATGTATTTTTTTTCCTTCTGAAGACTTTGTTCCACGGTTATTAGTGTCGTGTCACAAAAATCTTTATGGACGGAGGAAATGACGGTACGATTATGGTGAAGGTTTTTACCTGTCCACAGATACATCGTTATTCGTGATCTCCGCTCTGAAATGATGTTTACAAAATGTACGGTAATCAGAAATTCATGGCTTCCTTCTTTTCATTCATAGGCGGCGCAATCATTTTTTTTCCTCGCAAAGCTGATTATTCAATAACTTCTCCTTGACCATCCCGATTATTCCCCGTGCATATTCTCGCGTGCTGCAAGGTCGAAAATGCTAACAATGGACGCACATTAATAGCGCGCGCACATATATATGTGAATGTGTGCGCCATGATAAAAAATATTCTTCATTTCATATTAAGACTTTGTCGTTTTTTGGGGGGATTTTATCTTTTACGTTCAACCTTTACTCGGTAATTAGAGTATTTCTCTTGAACGATAATACAATCGTAGAATTTGTTTCTCAATTATTGTCATTAATTATGTAGATATAGCAATTTTATTTTATTCAAAGCTACAAATAAATTGAAATTAATTATAAGAATGCAAATATATAAATAATGCAAAAACGCGACAATTCTATTATAAAGTATAGATAGTTTTTATTGCTATTGAGCACATAACATTGTTCGTGTACCGGCAATAATCATCATTTGTCGGGAACGTGTATGTGTGTCATGTGTGACAAACGCACAGCAACATTAGTGGTCTGCAACACGTTTATGTGTGCGATTTGCGTATCCGGTGCCCTTGCACACGCGCAGGTGAATGCTTTGAAGACGTATATTTTCTCATGGAAATTCATTAATAACTTTCAGACATTTTTTCTCATTTTCTCTTGTACGCAACGAGACGCGTGCGTCGAGGGAAATAAAATTACCGCGATATTTCATCAGCTGTTTCTCATACTTGCCGGATTTAGATAGGGGCATTTAATTATTATTATCGGTATAGGAAAAAATTGCGCGATGAAGCTATCAGACTAGGATATTGGCAGTTTCTGTGTTATCATTGCGAGCGTATCAGTACGGGCTTTCGACGAGCCAATTTCCTCGAAGCAGTACCAGATGCCAGTAGAGTCTACGAGTGATTTGTGCTGCACTCTGCAGGAACTTGCGCTAACGTTATTCGATAAAAAATTTTTCCACCATCGAATTTGATTTTTCGAATTATAGCCCGTAAAATTATAAAACTATTCGGAAAAAATTATATATACATATATAGGTATGTATATACATGTATAAAATGCTCAGCTTTCCCACATTTGCCTGACATATGAATTCTCTTGGAGTAATATTAAATTTGTCTTTATTATAAATCACAAAATAAAAATAGTAATAATTAATAATTATAAGCAATTTTATATAAATATATGTAAATAATAATAATTTAAATATAGCAATTTTAATCATTTTTTCAAGTAAAATAAAAAAAAATTTATTTCAGAAAATTTTAATCATCAAGCTACTTTTAACATTTAAAAGAAATGATTAAAAAAAAGTATCGTTTATCAAGAGATAAATTAAAAGAGTTGTCTTCGTAAAAAAATCAATAAATGAAAGGAAGGAAGCGCGATATAAGTATGAGACATTCTATATAAATAATGCAAACATCAATAAACGCTTGAAGCGATATATTTACTTCTTTTCGGTCGCCAATAACATATAACGAATTAATCAATTTTTGATAATGTTATTGAAAGTACTTCAAAAACCAGTCGATCATTTTTAACAGATCTGATCACATTTACAACAATAAGTAAATCTAATAAAACGTATCAATCTCCAATGCTCATAGTTGCAATACCATCGATAAAACGATAAGTCGCGCCGTTTTGTGATAAGACAGACATACTTCTCGTTATCACGCCATACGCATTTATAAAAAAATTGATTAATTTAATTCAAATATATGCGCTCTCTTCGATTGTACGGGACACCTACGAGATCCTTGTACGCATAAATAACTTGATGCGGCTTAATTTATCGAATAATGTACTCCTAAAATAAAAAAATGCACATCCCTGTTGCGTCGATTATACTTGTAGCAGAACACAATAGCATAGTGTATCAAGTTGAATATAATATTTTTTACATCGAGAAAATGTAATTATAGTGTCTCGGCATTTCGTTTTGATAATTCAAACAGCCGGAAGAGAACTATATTTACGAAGGTATAAGAAAAGAATTCCAAACTGTCACGACACAAAGGTCTGACATGCTTCCCTGGTGCCATTTTGTGCCGTTTTATTTCTGTTCGAGATAGCGGCAGAAAAAGAGCGAGGAAAGAGGAGGACGAGCAGACTCGCTACAAATAGACATTTTAATCTATAAAATATTGTTTTTCCTGAAATAATAATGGCTTTATGCTGCTAAATATGATTATTCTGAATCAAAGAACATAGTAATTTGATGTGAAATCTTTCTTTTCTTTTTTTATAAAAACTAAAAACTTGTTTCGTCTAGAAATTTATAAACTTGATAATTTTCAAAGAATCAATAATATAAAGAGTATAATATGAAAATAATAAATAAAATTATATAAAATAGCTAATAAAAATAGTAATATAATAATTTATAGAAATCAATATTTACATACAATTTTGATAAAAATTTATAATTATACATGTATATAATTAGAAATTTTTTTCTCACTATTTTCAGACCGAATATAAATATTGATTTAAGTGTGGCAGTTGCTGATCAATTTGAGAGAAATTGTTAGATATTAAACATGTTTGATTTAATCGTAACTTATTCGGTTTGGCGAGGAATTCCGTTGTCGTACTTTGATTGTCTGATTACACGAGTTGCGCTAGATAGCTCAGAACGAAGTTCAAGGAAAACTGGTAAAAGCTATACGACTATTATTGAATGCGAAACTGAAAACTCGCGTAATTTTTTCTAAAAAAAATATTTTTAAAGTTTATATATTTTAGTGTCCATTACAATATGTGTAATATGGTTATGACTCACTCATTTATTGCATCTTAAATAATCATAGCTATAGTGATTTCGATATTTTCGATACAAAAAATCGAGAAAACAAAGATATTATGATCGCATGGTCAGAATGACGATCATTTCCCTTGGATACTATCTTGTTGAAATCAATGAAAATTTCGCGTGCTGAATTAAAAGTATCAATAAAAAAAAATACAAGAGATATAAAATGATTTAGTATTGTTAATATTCTAGTATTTTATTAGTATTTTATCGCGGCGTCTATATCTGATGGGTTGCGACACGTGTTCTTGGAAAGGAAGTATAATCAAATACATTCCTGTCATATTTTACTCAATGCAGGTAGATATCCCTACATTCAATCCGAGTAGACCCTTAGACGTCATTAAGTCTTTACGTAGCGATATTCTTAGATCTCTATAAATCCTTGGAATTTCAGACTTTCAAATTCTTCAGTAAAAATTAATTCTAGCGTTAGAGCTAATGTTAGAGCTCATAGGTCTTATATGTTTTTTTAATGATTGATTGCAACATTGATAATGAAAAAAATTATTAAAGGAAATGACGGCTGTATACGTACACAGAGCATATAGAATATTTGTTAAAATCGTTAGTAGAAATGCCCGCCAGGCGGACTCCAAAGGTCGAGGCACTGGTTGTAAACGCTATACGTAGACTGCAAGATGTCCAAGGCTCGACGTCGCGGGAAATTAGTAACTATATTTCCCAGGAGTACGATGTTCCTAAAGAAGATATCAGACGGCAGGTTCGAGTCGCTTTAGAACGCGGCTTGTCCTACGGAATCCTGCAGCGGTCCAGGAGGTACAAATCCGAATCGATTTATTCCTATTAATCGCTGATGGCGATTACACTTAATTAAAAGTTTTATTTGACGAGCAATTTTTCTCGATAATACACAACGTGTATTATTTAAAAATATTTACATCATAAAGCATTTATAGTTGAGTGAGATTAGTCGCGTTGAAATTATCGTCGAAATTTATTTGAAACGTTATAAATCATTTAATATGTTTTGATTTCCCTCGAAAATTGTGCGGGTGTCAATTAGAAGAGAGATAGTAAATTCGCATAATATATTGGACGTATTTAAGATACCATTTTTTTCTGCACCACGAAAAAAACTCGCTTATCAATGTGCCAATGATAAAGCCGCTGGGTCAAAAATAAAGCGCAATAGATTAAGTCACGATTGCGTGGGAGATACGTGACCCACTTTGTGAAAAAATATTTTGATCGCTTTGCACACACGATACTCTCACTTGATCAAATAACTGCTTTGTCATACGATGGTATAACGTAATGTAGCATCGATATGACTTTTAATGACTTTTAATGTAGTCATTGAGAGAATTGAATTTAACTTTCAAATGTTGAGTAATTAAACGGAAAAGGAGGATTTTTTTCTGCCATTTATAAATTATTTCTCAATATGTATACGCAGTCTTCGACGACAAGAATTGTAGGAAATTTTGAATGCGAGAAGACGATTGTAATAATTCATAATTTATGCCAAGAAAATCACTGTTATTATATATATCGAACTATTTCACTGGCATTCATAGCGGATACTATTCGTGCAATCGCGATTACCTCGGACAGTTATCGTTGGGGGATGGAACGGGTGACGGAGTGATGGAACCTTGTCCAGCTCAACCTTGGCGATTCGGCGTACGTAAGAGGAAAAGAGAAAAGGCAAGAGCAAGAAAAAGAGCGAGGGAAAGGAGAGAGAGAGAAAGGAGGGAAAAGGAAAGGAGAAAGAGAATGAGAAGGAGAAGCGCGAGACGAAGAAGAAGACGTAGGAGACCATCACGCGCCAGACGGAGGAGAGGCAGACCTCGAAGGAGACGCAGTAGAAGAAGAAGAAGGGGAGGAAGAAGGAGAAGAACGAGAACCAGAGGAAGAACTAGAACGCGCACTGATCCCGGCGAGATAGAAACCGAGGCGATGGTTCCGGAATCGAGGGAAAATGAAACTTTCAAAGATGCCTCGCGCAAAAGCGAAACATCCATATCCGAATATTCGGACGAAATGCGTTTGCAAGATAATCCTCAAGATCCTCAGTCTTCAAATACGTCCGGTGACGTTTAGGAATCAGGGCAGGGCAAAGTTTCTTTCAGGAAATATATGTAAATCAATGAGCGAATTATTCATTCGTATTTTGACGCACAAAGCATTTTACACATTTAATTGTGTGAATCTTGCACAGATATATATTTAAATTACAATATCCAAGACAGCCTCTTATACTGTTGTAAACTCTACGCAAGTTTTGAAATCTCATGTATTTATATATGTCCTTTTACTTTAATATCTTTTATATTAATTATTATAATTGACTTTGTATAACATGTAACTTGTTGTTAATTCTTTGTACGTTCTTCGGGTTACGAGAAAGAAAAAGGCGCGATTTTGAGGTGAGAGAAAGAGACAAAGAGAGATTAATCGAAATTACGCTGCCCATCACGTGGCATTGAAACTCGAGCCCCCTGAGAAATGGCGCACGGGGCCCGCGGCGCCTGTCGACAGACCTGAACACGGCCTTGTCGGCTAATGATAGTCGCGCTAATGACGAGTCTGCACACGCATGTACGCTCGCACCGCGTGACTATTTCGCCTAGCAACTCTAGGACTAGACGCAAGATGCATCGTGACGGTGTTTCGCATTGCCAGCTGTGAATGATAAGTGCGTGTCACTAGCCAACACATACGCACATCTCGAAACGCGGGCGAACGATGGTATTTTAGGGGCACATTTTTTCGATTTTCAAGAAAAAAATCCATTTTTTTTCCAAGGATTGTAATTTTCTCATGTCGGCTATTTAAATTCGATTATAAAATTCGATTTCACGCGAATTTGAATGTTTTCATCAATAATTTCAAATATGATCATTTTTTATATATCTAACTAGCAAAATTGAATATTCAATCTATATATTTGAGTTTAAATCTTAAACTGCATATATATTTGAATTCGAATCATTTCATCTATCGGATATCACACACACGTATTGAATAGAGACGAGACTATCGAATGTTATCATATCGATTCATTATGCGTACTTCGTTCAAGGGAACTTACGTTCAGTGAACCTGCATTCAAACGGAAAGACCGAAAGATGATTATCTATATAAACATTACGTTTATACGCAATATTGGACAATTAATAAGACAATCTAAAGTTTATTTATAGCCTGCCGTATATTTATGTTGGCTTCGACAACGTAAAAGCTATATCTCGTTTCTGAAACTACGCACTCCAATGCATAATTGTGTAATTTATGTCATTATATTAATCTTTCCTTCGTATATTATCGACTGGTTAACCAACTGTCTAACAGACGATGACTAATGCAGAGAATAGTTCTTGCGATGATGAATGATTAGTCGCATTGATGAATTACGTTTGAATTGGTGCAATTAATGATCGTCGTTAACATTGAATATTTTCCACAGGAAATATTATTATTAGCATTAAATAACGATTGATATTAAATCATAATTTGAACCGGTCGTTCTTTTAAACGTAAAATAGCTCGCTCGAGAAGATTTCTTGGAAAATAAAGCGGAAAAAATGATTATTTATTTTCCTCCGGTATAATGATAGCCTGTACCAGTGTAACGAGAGACCGTTTTATCACGAGACTAATCATGTATTGTCGTCACACTCCTCATGCCGAACGTTAATTAAACATTTTACACTTGTGCTTCGACAAGTGGCTCAACAGGCGAGAGGAGGGATTCGGAAACCAGTTAATTTCAGTTGTTTCAATTTTCGATCTTACGTAGAACGATAAGAATAGTAAACAAGACATTTGTATGTATCGTAACGTCGAAAATTAAAATAATCGAGTTACGTCGTTAGAAAATTCGTGCGTCGACAACAGCGTCTGCTTGTTTGCCGATCTAATGGTGCAGATCGTTTCCTTCGTTTTCCTTCAAAGAAGCGTATCAAGAGGAAGACGAATAGAGAAAGAAAGAGACAGAGAGAGAGAAAGAGACGCGGAAAAGAGAGAGAGACTCGTCGTCGTTTCGCCGCGAAACCGAAAATACTCATGTCGGCCGGTATGTTGAAACCTGGCATAAGTTTTGGCGGGTTGCCAGGGAAGCGGTACTCGCTTGGAGGCCACGCCAGGCCACGAGCGATCGCCTCGACAGTCCAAATCTTTAGTTAAAGATAAAGAAGACGCTTCTACAAAAACGCGCGTCGATCGACCGCGACGTTTAACTTCGAGATATCGATCGATATTTATTAACGTTGTATTTTTGCAACTAAAACGAGCAATTCGATGAATACCGCTCGCAATAATTTCTTATCGGATACTTCAGTCGTATCTCCAACGCACACACGTTTACCTGTTGACTATATAAAGCGATAGTCGTGTCTAAATTAATACTCGCTGAAACTGGAACACTACGTTCCAACTGATAAGTTTATTGTTCCGCGAACAATTTCCTAGAGAGATAACTTTTAGCTTACTCATAAGTCCGCGAAAGAAGAGATAAAATGAGGAAAAATTTATCGTTTCTTTATTTTTTATTTACTAAATTCCTATGAAATATATAGTCGATATATGCTGCGCAATATAATCTCCTTGCAAATTTTCTCTACTCCGTCGACATTCGCAAAGTAGATGAGTACCTCGACGAGAATCGAGCAACACGTGCTAACGAGCAAAATCGCGCGGTGCTAAACGTTTCTTGAGAGAGACTCGCGGATATCGCGACAGACCTTGAAACAGTTAGAGGTGTACGAGACGAATAATCTCTCCGATTGGCCTGCGGCTAATAATAGCAAAATATAAGATATAATTTTGAGGATCATTATCATCGAACATTAAAGTGTCGTTAGTGCTTCCAACGTGTCTTCGCAAAAAAAAAAAAATAAAAGATTAAAAAGAGTAAACAGAGGAAGTGAATTTGTGAAAATAAATTCTGCAGAGATATCTCAATATATATATATATAACAAACGTGACGTCGAGAACATTTTCTCTACATGCTTTATTTTTTTATTAAAGGATTAAATTGTATTTTTGATAGAGAATTAAAATAAATAAAATAGAGAGAACACACAATATACAAAAATATTCACAATCAATTTTTTATTTCAAACAAATTATGGGTTTTTAATTTAATAAATATAGATTCCTATATCGATTTCCTTTAATTCAACACGTGTTTACAAAACGCTATCGTAATCGAAGAAATCGTCATCGTGGCCGGGAGAAACAAGGTAATTAACCTTTACCTTGGTCTTTGTACGATCTACGAACGACTTAGAACGGCATCAAAAACCAGCTTGTTTTTTGTTGGTGAATGGCAGATGTTGGAGCCAACTTAAAACGATCAAGCGACTATGTAATGCACCATAAAGTTGGCACTATTGTGGCTATTATTTCATTCGGAGAATAATGCTGAGGTAATCAATTATTTCTCGTTTTTATCATATTTTTTTTACTCTAATCAAACAGAAATGATTTCGCATTGTATCGATATGTTAATCAGTCTTGACAAAATGTGAAATTTATAATCAAACAAGAGATAATCTCTTGTATGGCAAAATCGTTATCAGATAAGAGCCTTGTTCATAAATTATTAAAAACACTATTTAGAGGTATACTAGGTAGAAGACATGTTAAACAGTAATTACACAAACATATATATATATATATATATATATATATATATATATATATAATTTAATATATATAAATGTGTATGTGTGTATAAAGTATCATGGATCGTGAAAAAAACATTGCATTAAATCGCGGAAATTGATTGATGTATAGTTGGTGTAAAATACAAATAAAGTCGATGCGAATATATATTATATATTTCTTCAGCTGCATCGCGAAGCAGCTCCACTATACCGCGCCATATTCGAGTTGCCGGTGCTCTTTTCTGATCTTCCAGCCTATCCATCAAATGGATTGACGTGTGTACGGTCCTGGCACGCCAAAAATAATCGTTCAACATATGTATTGTGAAAGAGCACGAGTCACGGTAGAGATCAGGACGTAATGCCGAGCTTTCGATGCGATTCATCTCAGCTGATAATTACCCGAAAGCGAGAGATACGACTTATCGAATATAAAATCCTTTCGACCCATGGTTTTTTCCAATGGTTGGAATTAACACAAGCCCGTATTTCGTCCTTAAAAAACTTGTCCTTGAGATGATGATTTATGACCGCGACATATTACAGTTGTCAAATTATTAAAGTTCTGATGGAATGCAGAACGATTTATCTTAATTAAGACCATAAGAATAAAAACGACTAAACATTTACTGCATTTGTCTTTTTTTTTTATTTTACATGTGACAAGGGCGTCTAAAATAAAGAAAAAAAACATTTCAAAAGAAAAAAAATAAAAAAAACTGTTTTCAACCAGAAGTGATTGACGGTTTCTAAAATGTATGAGATTCTTAATAAGTTGGAGAGACAAATTTTATATATATAATGATACATATATATATTGCTGAATAATTTTTCTAGTCGTTTCATGATTTGTACGTTAAATATAGTTGGTTTCGAAAATAAATAGCTAAGACAAAAATCGTATCAAAGGTTATCTAATTTTATAGACACATATTGTAAGGTTTCGTAGATTTATCTTTTGAGAGATTTTAAAATAACGATTACAATTATACATTATTACACATTATTATAAACTTATCAAAGTAATAATAGCTCGAGATTAAGTTTTGATCATGCAATAATGATAATATAAAGCTATTCATTTGCCTTATTGACAATGCGTGCGTAAATCTGTGATTTATTTCGCGATTCCAGACAATAAGAAAGTAACAGCGATAACTATATCGATCGTAAGAGAGTGAATGAAAAATGAAACGGCGCTTAGCACGCGCGACTTATCGGCGTCTACTTGCCGACTTGCATTTCTCGTCGTCGACAATCGTAGGGTCACTAACGATGACGTCCGCGACAGTGACCATAAGTGACATCGATCACTTATTGACGCATAGAGTTTGAAGCAAACAGCACGCTAATCTTTTATTCGAGCTAAGAAACACAAATAAAAGAGGATTATTTTTCTCTCTCATTCAACCACGCCCTGTTTCCCTCTTTATAAAAATAATTACGTACACATTTTAAAATAAAAACACTTTCCATTTTAATAGATCGCGATAAGAAAAATAAAAAATCAGTATTTTTAACATACGGAACATGATAATAGGATCTTGAAATAAATATAAAGAGAGAGAATCCTCAATTATATAGACTCCAATTAATTTTAATTAATGTCTACGATTCTTAATTGCTAAACGTGTTTGTGAAGCGTGCATTTTATATAGTGAACTTGCAGGAAGAGAAAAGACAAGCCAAATTAGAAATAGAGGAAGCAAATGGCAAGACCGAAGAAAGGATGGAACCGTTGGTTCAAACAAATTATGGATAAATAAAGATGTATGCCATTATACGGCGTTATTGGCCGAATTGGAAAGTCTGGGGCCTTCCTGGCTCTCTGCCCTTCTACTATTACTCTCGTTTATATCCCTCCTATTGATCGGCATAAATATACGAGGTGCAGTTTGCCTCGTCCCTTCGGGAGCCCCCGGTGCGTCTTGTTTCACGTTTCCGCATAATGTTACATCAATCGGCAATAATTTAATCCTAAAACATGAGTATCGGGAGCTATTAAACCCCAGTTGAACTTACATATTTCTGTCATTATAAATCAAACGAATTCTCTAAATGTAGGCCACGATTAGAAGCTCCATTGCCTGCGTGTGAGCCTCTTAAAGTCGAGGGACGGATCTGGTCTCTATATAATTGATCGTATATATGTGTGTAATTTACATGATTTACATGTGATTCATATATGTAATTG